GGGTTCAAAACCCGGCATGAATGGGGCTGGATTCCAGAAGGGCCTGACTTGCGAGAGCTGCCACAGTGAGTTTCAAGGAGGGACAGGGATGCTGGGGGTGGGTGGCCTGTTTCTCTGGCCTAGGAGTTTGAGGAGCTCAAGTGGCATGTTTTCTGCTAGCATATTTCTTCTCTGTTCCTGTAGCCACACAGTCTGCCCAGTGGTATGCCTGGGGCCCACCTAACATGCAGTGTCGTCTTTGTGCTTCCTGCTGGATTTACTGGAAGAAGTATGGGGGACTGAAGACCCCAACCCAGCTTGAAGGGGCAGCTCGGGGCACCACAGTAAGAATCACTGGGTGGGAGTTGGGTATGGTGGCTGGGGCAGATGGGTCTCTATGAGTTTGAGTTTGAGGCCAGCCTGGTATTTATAGTTAGCTCCAGGTCAGCCAGGGCTACATAGAAAAGAATCACTGCAAGAAGAGGTAGGGGACGGGGAGAGTGGTAGGCAGGCATATAGACAGATGTGAGCTTTAGGCAAAGGTCAGAAACCTGACTCCTTAATATGGAGACAGTCGTGAGCAGAGGCACCTGCTAAGCGTTGAGAAGCCAGGGAGGTTGGGTAGAGGGCTAGTAAAGAGTTGGGGGAAATGGAGGAAAGAAGTGTGATGTTGACTTGCCATTTCCCTTCTTCATATGTCATTCCTCCAGGAGCCACACTCAAGAGGTCATTTATCCAGACCTGAAGCTCAGAGTCTCTCACCTTATACAACCAGTGCTAATCGGGCCAAGTTGCTGGCTAAGAACAGACAGACTTTCTTGCTCCAGACCACAAAGCTGACTCGTCTTGCCAGACGGATGTGCAGAGACCTGTTACAGCCAAGGAGGGCTGCCCGAAGACCCTATGCACCTATCAATGCCAATGCCATCAAGGCAGAGTGTAAGCACTAGAGTGGTGGTAGTGATAAGTTCAGAGTTGCTCTGGCCAGAGACCGTTGTTTAATGAAAATAGGGAGAGTAGGCCACAGAGGGTCTTTCGTAGATAAGGGTTAACTTTTGGCGCTAGAAGCTCCTTCAGAAATTTTGATCTGCAATGTCCGGTGATGCATGCCTTGGAGGCTGAGACAGGATATAAACTACTTCCTATCAGACTGATCTGTGTAATGAGCTCCATATCAGCCTGGATTACATAGTAGGACCCTGACTCAAGTAGGGTAGGCATTGTGATACATGCTCATAGCCCAAGTACTGGAGGATGAGGGCAGTTCTAGGCCGGCCAGGGCTATACAGCAAGACCATTTCAAAAAGCCAGAGCAAAATTGCAGAATGTCTAGAGGCTTTCATCTTTCTCCAGGCTCTATCCGACTTCCTAAGGCTGCCAAGACGCCACTGAAAATTCACCCTCTGGTGCGGCTGCCCTTGGCAACTATCGTCAAAGATCTGGGTATGGGATGGAAACACTTGATCCAGGGTGGGTAGAAGGTGGAGAAACAGTTTGGGTGGTGTTAAGCTGCCAGCCGGTTTTTTCTCCGAGTTTTTCTTTCCCACTGAGTCCAAACTATGTGTGTATGCTTTTTTTTTTTTCTTTCCCTTTTTGGTGGTGGTGCTTTCGGTCAAAACCCAGAACTCGTGTATTCTGGGCAAGTGTTTTACTATTGAGCCCCATTTTTGACACAGTAGTGCCTTTTCATAAGTATTTTGTGATCTGGAAGCATACTTAGATGTCATTTTTGAAATATGTGTAAGTGGTTTGTAGTCCTTTTCCTCTATTACTACTACTCTGGTGACCAAGGGAAAGTCGCTGGGCCAGGGTAAAGAGGAAGAAAAACTGGTAAGGAAAATTGTGCAGGCAAGAGAAGGTATGAACATTTTCTACTCTCCCCCCCCCCCATTTCACTGTTAGTGGCCCAGGCACCTCTGAAACCAAAAACACCTCGGGGCACCAAGACACCAATCAACAGGAACCAGCTGACCCAGAACCGAGGCCTGGGGGGGCATTATGGTGAAACGTTCTTATGAAACTGTGAGTTGACCAAATGGGTTGGGAAAGCTGAATGGGGTGGGCTTTTGTTTCTGATAGGAAGCTGAGGGAGGCGGCACTTTCATTATGTTGCCCTGTCCTTTTCCAGATGGCAGGGGCCGGGGTCCCCTTCTCTGCCAATGGAAGGCCTCTAGCCTCAGGGATTCGTTCAAGCTCACAGCCAGCAGCCAAGCGTCAGAAACTAAACCCTGCTGATGCTCCCAATCCTGTGGTATTTGTGGCCACAAAAGAGACCAGGTAGGGAGGGTTCCACCGTGGGAGGGGCTGAGAGACTGACAGTCCAAGTTGGGGGCATTGGAAGTAGGGGTATCTGAGAAAGATAAGTACAGAAAAGAATGTAGGTGTTGCCGGGCGTTGGTGGCGCACGCCTTTAATCCCAGCACTAGGGAGGCAGAGGGACGAGGATCTCTGTGAGTTCAAGGCCAGCCTGGTCTACAGAGTGAGTTCCAGGACAGCCTCCAATACAGAAAAACCCTGTCTTAACCCCCCCCCAAAAAAAGTGGGTGTCAGAATTGTAGAGTGCATTGTAGAGTCTTAGGTGTGTAGGTGCTCATTGAGCTCCTCCCCGTTTCTCTCTTGCTCTTTTTGACCAGGGCTTTAAGGAAGGCTCTAACTCACCTGGAAATGCGTCGAGCTGCCCGAAGGCCCAACCTACCCTTGAAGGTGAAGCCAGCACTGATAGCAATTCGGCCCCCAGTTCCTGTGCCAGCGCCCTCACATCCTGCCAGCACCAATGAGCCCATTGTTCTGGAGGATTGAGCATCTTAGTAAGGGGAGGAGATGGGATGAGAGGAAGAGGCTTGGGTGCCCAGGGCACACAAACCTCAAGGAGCAAGGGAGGGTTGAGACTGGTGCGTGTGTCCTTGGAGGACGTGGATACCCTTGGGGTGACTGCCAGTAGCTCCCCCTTTTTGGGCTTCTCTATGCCTGTGATGGCAGGCAGCCTACAGGAACTTGCCTGTGTGTGTGTACCTACCCAATTTGGGGCTTGGGACCCACAGTTGCTTTGGACAGTTGGGTGGGGGGGGAGGGTTTTTTAAATTTTTTAAAAATTTTACCTCCCTTTGTAAAAGGGATGGAAGAGGGGAAGAGTAAGATTCAGGTGGTGGTACCTGGCGGGGGAGGGAGAGTGCACTGCCATGTCTTTGTTTTCTTTATTTTCTAAGGGGGTTTCTCTTACTGTCCGGTGTCCGGACTTGGCTAATTAGTTTGAGGGCCCTAAGGTGGCATCAACCCCAGCTCATGCCCGCTCTTTCTTCCCTCCCCTTTCCTCCTCTGCCTTTTATATGCCAATTCTCAGAAATAAAGATCTTTTGTCCGTTTTTTAACCTTGGATTCTGTAATTGGTTCTTATAGTGAAGAATAAAAAGCTGTTTTCTTCAGCTCCTCAGGCTCAGCTGTTCTCTGCTGCTACTGTGTGTGTGTGTGTGTGTTTGGTGTCTTTGAGAAAATAGAGGACAAAGGACAATGAAAGCGGTACAGATGGTGCTTGTTCTAGGGACAGCTTTATGAGACATGCTGCCCGACTGTGAGCTAGTCTGTGCCAACTTTCCTTGTGGGACTCAGGCCTCTCCCATTGGGGGGCTAGAGTACAAGCAGCATCTTGGTCTCGATTCATTCAAGCTCTTTAATGGCTTTGAGTCTCCACAGATGGGTGTTAGAATGTCTTCCTGTTATCCGCTTTTACTCCCCCCTCCCTTTTCGTGCTGAGGATTGATCCCAGGGCCTGTATTGCCATCACCTGCATCCTCAGCCTTTCCTTCACTTTCATTTAAGCCTCCCATCATTCAGTGTCAAATGCATCTCACTAGGTGGGGGTGTTGACACACGCCTCTAATCTCAGCACTTGGGAGGCAGAGGCAAGTTCAAGGCCAACTTGGTGTACAGGAGTTCCAGAGATAGCCAGGGCTACACAAAGAAACCCCATCTTGAAAACAAAGATGCATTTCACCTTAGTGTTTGTGGGTGTGGTGCTGCTCAGTGGTGTAATATATACAGACTGCTGGATTTGTACCCTATTGTCAGTTAGCACCTGCCCCCACTGCTGAGTGTGCACTAGTACTATTTTAATTTCGCCTGCCTTTTTTGTCTGGTGTAAAGATCAGATACCTGAGCAGGGTCCAACAGGAGGGACACCTTAGAATAGTTCAACCAATTCTCCTTAAGCACTTTAGAGATAGAAGAGCCTCATTATGACTCAGTCAAGGCCACAGACTGGTTTTCTGATAATCAGCTGCTGAGCCCACCCCATAGCCTTTCCATTTCATTATGGTCCCTGTGATCAGTTCTCATATCTTGTTCCTGAACCTTCAGGGTTGAGCCCTGTGCCTGACTGGGATCTGCTGCACTTCCCGTCCCACCTCCTTGAATAAATGTGTAGTCTGTTCTTCATTGCACTGCCTTGAAATAGACCTCGTTAATATACTTCATTAAGGCTACAACTACCGAAGACACTTTGACTGGGATAGTAGCCATCTGCCGTTGGCCTCATTGAGTCCAAGTGAAAGGGAGTAGGGGGGACTGGGTCGGACCGCGCTGAGAACTCCGGTTTTGCAGAAGGATCCAGCTGTAGAGAAAGGAACTGACCCGAGGATGTGGGAGTCCCTGAGCTCCATAAGCCAAAAGGTTGGAAACACTCACCCGCTGCTTCTATTCGCAGGGTGAAATAAAAGACTGAGGTTCAGGTCTAGGGTGAATTGAAGGCACAGATCGCACGCCACCATTTGGCAAAGAAAGGGCTGTGCTGTCAAGCCCCAAGTCAGCCTTTGTGGCTGTGGCTGCTTAATGAATATTCACAATTCTTCAGGCCAATCAACGCTGGATGGAACGGAGCCTGCCAACTAGTTAGTAGACCAATAAGCGTCGTCGGTGGGCGGCCTTTCCTGAAACTGACTTAATAGGAACCCTTAACCCTAAGAACACGGTTTCTTGAAGACTATGCTGGCGCCGTACACAAGCGTCACTTCCTGCAGCACTGCCGGAAGTGACTTCCTCGCGCCTTGCGATTTTTAGCTGTGAGTTCTGGTGGCTGGTGGCGGAAGAGGTTGTAGGCGGTCCATGCCGGAGAGTCGCTATGGAGGCGGAGGATTCGGATGTCGTATCGCTGCCTCGTGGTCGCTTTCGCTGCTGTCTCTGCGACATTACTACAGCCAACCGTAAGCTGAGGCTAGTGAGGGAAGGGAGAGTTACAGTCTTTCACATTTAAGTGCTAGTGAAAGTTATCTAGGTTATAGTTTTTGCTGGCACTAGGGTCATCCACCTGTTTTCATTCATCACGCCCCAGGGCATCGGAGAGTGAGGAAGTCTCACCCGTTCTTCGCACTATGCAAAAGCTCCATAGTGAAAAGTTTCATTATTCCTTTTAAAACATCACCTACTGGACTTCTCAGCCCTGTGCTTGGTACTTTACTGGTCTCGAGCCGGGAAGGGATTCAGGAACTCATTGTCTGGACTGAGACAGTTCAGTACACCATGGGTATGTTTACAGAGCTGAGCCATCACAGAGAAGGCATTCAATTGGAGATTCCCAATGGGGAGAATACTGTCTCCAGAGGCGAGGCTGAGTGAAACAAGGTGGCCTGAGTGAATGCAGAAGATACCAGTGAGGAATAGGGCTTGGAAAGACGGATTGAGTAATTTTGTGACACCAAAAGGGACTTAGTGACATCTCAGATCCCATTTTTTTTCCCGAGACAGGTTTCTCTGTATTGTTTTGGAGGCCCCCCCCGGTCCATTAGGGCAAGCCAGGAATTTAGGAAATTGCGTTGTCCAGGAACTTTCATGGCGCCAAGCAGCTGATTGATGATAAAATAATACTAATAGTTAATTTCCCACATATCAGATAGCCCTGGAAAATGTTAATTCCTCTACCGTGGGCAGATGTTGCTCTACTTAACACATATCATTGGCTTAAGAACTGTCTGCACTGGGGCTGGAGAGATGGCTCAGTGGTCAAGAGCACTGACTGCTATTCCAGAGGACCCAGGTTCAATTCCCAACACTCACATGACAGCCCACAACTGTCTATAACTCCACTTCTAGTGGATCTGATACCTTCATACCAATGCACATAAAATAAAGTTAACTAAGTTATTTGAAAAAAAGAAAAGAACTGCCTGCACTGCAGCCCTTTCTCTTGGAAATCTCTTAGCGAATGCACTGTGGAAAAAAAGGAGAAGAATACCAAATGTGGAAGGAGCCACAACTCCGTCCAAATGTCACTCTTTGTCTCTGAAGGAACAGGATTTCTCTGTGTCGAGAACAGAAGGGATGCTTTCTTTACATGCTGTGTCTCACACTTGCCTCTCTCTGCAGGACCCAGCCTCGATGCCCACTTGAAAGGCCGGAAGCACCGGGATCTAGTACAATTACGAGCTACCAGAAAGGCCCAGGGGCTTCGAAGCGTCTTTGTCAGTGGCTTTCCCAGGGATGTGGGTTCTGCTCAGCTCTCTGAGTATTTCCAGACATTTGGCCCTGTGGCCAATGTTGTCATGGACAAGGACAAGGTAGAATGAATGTCTCTGGGATTCATGTGTCAGATGGCTTTGCCTTATATGAAGCTGTTTTGGCAGCTTCCAAATGTGGCTCATCCTTGGTAGACATTTCAGAACTCAGAATAGCTTAGTTTTGGGAGCTTCTGCCACCTTGGATTTTTGAGACAGGATCTCATCATGTAATTTTGAGTTTTACCATGTAACTCTGGCTGCCTAGGAGCTTGTTATGTAGACCAGGCTGGCCTTGAACTCACAGAGAGCCACCTGCCTCTGCTTCCCTGGTGCTGGAATTAATGGCTTGACCAAGGCTCTTGCCCTATTGCCACCCCTCCCTCCTTTTTTCCCCCTTCAGTTCTAGGGATTGAACATGGAACTTTTGAATGCTAGGAAAGTGGCCTCCTCCAAACCATCCTCATATCCTTTATCAGTCACTTCCTGTGATTCATACCTGTGTACTGGTGAGACATCTGCAGTTTTGTGTGTATGATATGAGGGTCCAACTTTTTTTGCTTATGACTGTCCAATTGTTCTAGCGTCATTTATCTATAAAGCCCAGGAACTCACTCTGTAGACCAGGCTGGCCTCGAACTCACAGAGATCCGCCTGCCTCTGCCTCCCAAGTGCTGGGATCAAAGGCGTGCGCCACCAACGCCCGGCCCTTCCCCACTGATCTTACATGCTGAAAAGTAGCTGACTATATGTACAGTGTTATTCTGTCTGCATGTATGCCTGCAGACCAGAAAAAGGCACCAGATCTCATTACACATGGGAATTGAACTCATGACCTCTGGAAGAGCAGGCAGTGCTCTTAACCACTGAACCATCTCTCCAGCCTGGCCTTACATTCTTTATTACTATATAGAATTCCTCTTTATAGGAACAGATGATATAAAAGGACATGCACTTTTACCCATAAGCATTCATGTTTGCCTTGCTCGTGCTAATGTTTTACCTTAAAATATATATATATATATATCAATATTCAGCTCTGAGGCTAGAGGTGGTGGCACACGCCTTTAATCTCAGCACTCAGGAGGCAAAGGCATGGTCTACAAAGCTACACAGAGGAACCCTGTCTCAAAAAAAAAGTAATATTCAGCTCTGTTCAGTTCATCCAGTTCATAGCAGCCCAGCTGTCATATTGTAGCTAATCCTAGATGGTAAGAGTTTTCTATGTTTATGTGTTTATATTAGCAGTAGCAGGGTTGTTTAAAAATTTGTTATGATTTGGTGCTAAGGCTTGAATCTAAGACTTCATACACACTAGACAACTTCTCTACCGGTGAGCTGCATTCTGAGCCCAACATGGGCTCTCTTAAAAGATTTTATTACATGTGCACACGCATGGTCCATGGTGCACATGTGGGGGTTGGGACTGAACTCAGGTGGTCAGGGTTGGTGGCAAGCACTTTACCCCAGCATGGATCTTTTTTAAGGTTGTCTGTATGGTTATGTGTATATGATTATATTTTAATTTTTTAAAAGACTTATTATGTGGGCCGGGCAGTGGTGGCACACGCCTTTAATCCCAGCACTCGGGAGGCAGAGACAGGTGGATCTCTGTGAGTTCGAGGCCGGGCTGGACCGACAGCCTCCAAAATAATACAGAGAAACCCTGTCTCGTAAAACCAAAAAAAAAAAAAAAAAAAAAAAAAGACTTATGAGTATCGTCTCCATGTTTGTTGGTGCCTGGTGCCCTTGGAGGTCAGAGGAAGGCATTGTGTTCCCTAGAACTGGAGTAACTGATGGTTGGGACCTGCTGTGGAGGGGCTCGGAGCAAATTTTGGTCCTTTGAAAAAGCAATAAGTGCTCTGAATCTCTGAGCCATCACTTCAACCCCTTAATTACATTTTTGTTTGTTTGTTTTTTGAGACAGGGTTTCTCTGTATTGTTTTGGAGGCTGTCCTGGAACTGGTTCTGTAGACCAGGCTGGCCTTGAACTCACAGAGATCCTGCCTCCCTGGGATTCAAAGCGTGCACCACTAACGCCTGGCTATTTATTTAGTGTGCCTGTGAGGTAGGGGAGCAGGGGGACATGCTTGGCACAGATGTGGGAGTCAAACAACTTTCAATAGTCAGTTCTCTTCTCCCATCATGTGGGAGTCAGGGGGCTCAAATTCAGATCATAAGGTCAGGTGGCAAGTACCTTTATCACCGAGCCAATTTCCTAAGCTCTAATCCTGAGTCTGGGATTACAGACATGCAACACCAAGTATGGGTAGGTGGGTCTTATTTTGACCATTTTGACCTGTGAAATCAAGTCACTGTGAAATATAGGAGACAGCAGATGAGTTTTTAACTGACAGCCAGGAATAAAAATGTATAGGATAAGAGTGAAAATTACTCATCTAACTAAATATATTCCCTTTTACAAAAACAGCAAGTAAATACTTCCAGTGTATTGGTTGTTTCCCATTTCAGAGATTCTCTTCTATTGTCAAAACTTAAAACTGTTGATTACCAAACCATGATCCTTGCTCTTGTATGGTTTGCCAGGGGGTGTTTGCCATCGTGGAGATGGGCGATATAAGTGCTCGGGAGGCTGTCTTATCACAGCCCAAGCACAGGCTGGGGGAACATGGACTGCGGGTCCGGCCCAGGGAGCAGAAGGCGTTCCAGAGCCCAGCCTCCAAGTCTCCCAAAGGAGTGGACTCAAATAACCACCAGCTGGCCCAAGCCCTGGCCAAAGCCACAGGCGTGGAGGCACAGATGGCAAAGCTGGTAGAGCTGAGGGAGCTGTCTGAGGCCGAGCGGCAGCTTCGGAAACTTGTCGTGGCCCTGATGCAGGAGGTCTTCACAGAGTTCTTCCCTGGTGAGCGAGCTCTCCCTAACTCTTGTTGCTCTGCCTGCCCGTGTTGGAACCCTCAGTCTTCTCTTGGCTGTTTCATCCATCTTTGTACCCCAGTATGTTCACTCTCCATCCTTCTGCTCCATCGTTTTCTCCCCTCTTTATTATGTGTATGCACAAGTGACACACGTACTTGTGGAGGTCAAAGAGTAACTTTCAGGAGTCGGTTCTCTTCCTCCACCACATGGGTCCTGGGGATTGAACTCAGGTCAGCAGACTTGGTGGCAAGTGCCTTTACCTTCTGAGCCATCTTGCTGGCCCCCTACTGTCTTTTGACCTGTATCCTCTGGTACCTAGGCTGTGTGGTCCATCCTTTTGGCTCTTCTATAAACAGCTTTGATGTTCATGGCTGTGATCTGGACCTCTTCTTGGATCTGGATGATACAGAAGAGACCCAGGTGAGTGAGCAGGGGAGCATGCAGTCATGTGACTTTGGGCAAATGCTTTACCTAAACTCTCATGGTTTTTAGTTTCAAGATTTTAATACAGGCATAATAGTTCTTAGCCAGAGGTGTTACTGTAATTGTGGAAATGTGTATATGGATGTGCATTAGATAGAATGAAAGTGAGTTGGCCTGGGATAGAGAACACTGGTGATAGGAAGATAAAACATTTCAAAATGCTGTTATTGGATTTTGTTTATTGTGGGGTTTTTTTTTTTTTGAGACAGGGTCTCACTATGTAGCTCTGGCTGGCTTGGAACTTGCTATGTAAACCAGGCTGGCCTCTCTGCCTCCCGAGTGCTGGGATCAGAGACATGCAGTACCATTGCCTGGCTTCAAAGCACTGTTGGGGATGGATTATGTGAAGCTGTAACCACGTACGCAGAGGACAGAGGAGGGGGCACTCACTCCCTTTCTTCTCCACCTACAGCCAGCCCCACAGGCCCCAGAGATTCCAGAGGCTCCATCTGTGGACTCAGCACTTGCTTTTTCCCTGGATCCTCAAGCGCTGGCCTGTACCCCAGCCTCTCCTCTAGACTCACCGTCTCCAACTTCTCTCCACGATTCTGAGGCCCTGGATCTTGAAACCACGTCTTCTCTGGCACCACAGACCCCAGATTCCGCTTTGGGCTCTGACACTGTCACTTCTCCCCAGTCCCTGCCTCCGGTTTCACCGCTGCAAGAGGACAGGGGAGAGGGGAAACTGGGCAAAGCTTCAAAGGACGAGAAGGAGGAGGCGGCGGCAGTGCTAGAGCTCGTGGGCTCTATCCTGCGGGGCTGTGTCCCTGGAGTGTACAGAGTCCAAACTGTGCCTTCCGCCCGGCGCCCGGTCGTCAAGTTTTGTCATCGGCCTTCAGGTCTTCATGGGGACATCTCCCTCAGTAACCGGTACTTTCATGCTGGGGTTGAGGAAGGCTGGCTCTTAAGTTCTGGGATGTAGGAGGAGGGAGTCCTGACTTGGAAGTCTTATGCCCACGGAATTGAGCTTTTTCTTCTTTGGTTCAATCCTCCTTTCTCCCAGTGATGTCACCTCCTACCTAGCTTCCATTTTAGTGTTTGTTTTTGTTGGGATACTCTGTACTCCTGAGTCAGGGTCTTGCTGTGTGGTCTGTACTGGCCTCTAGCCCTTGATTCTCCTGCCTTAGCCTCCTGAATCCTGGGATTACAGGAATGTGCTATTATGCCCGGCTTTGCATTGCTGCTTTTTGTTTTTTGTTTTTCTTTTTTTCTTCAAGACAGGGTTTCTTTGTAGCTTTGGAGGCTGTCCTGGCACTTGCTCTGTAGACCAGGCTGGTCTCAAACTCACAGAGATCAGTTGGCCTCTGCCTCCTGAATGCTGGGATTAAAGGTATGCACCACCACTGCCCGGTTTCAAAAAAAGTTTTAAATGACATGTTTGTTTGTGATATCTCATCTCTGTAGTCAGAACAACTTGTGGGAGTCAGCGCTCTCCTTGTAACACGTGAGTGCTAGGGACTGAACTGAGGTGTCAGTCTTGGTGGCAGACTCTTCCCGTCTCACTGGTCCTGTATCTTTTGAGACAAGGTTTCCATATTCCTTATTCAACCTCCTGAGTGCTGGGATTATAGGTATATGCTTACCACACCTAGCTATTGAGCAGTTCTATATAAACAGCATGGTTTATGAATGGTAACTACAGGATGAGCATATGGAATGTAGTGTTGTCTAAGGTTCCACTGATACATACTTCCCCCACCCCATGGCTCAGGCTCTAGGCAAATATCCCACCATTTAACCACATTCCCTAGATTTATTTAATGTTCTTTTGTGTACCCCTTCAATATGACCAGTGTTTTGGCAAAACTCTTTGGATCTTATTTTAGCTGGTCCTAAGTCTATAATGAAAGACAGGGGGATATTAGGTCTCAAGAATTCCTACACCATAACAACTTTGTTTCTCCATTGTCCCAGGCTGGCTTTGTATAACTCCCGTTTCCTGAATCTCTGCTCTGAGATGGATGGCCGAGTCCGGCCCCTGGTGTACACCCTACGCTGCTGGGCTCAACATAATGGGCTGTCAGGTAAGAATCAGGACAGACTTGGCCTGAGCTGGTGTTAGGTAAAGGGAGGGATTTAGGGGGGAAAGTGAACACAGGAACCAGGGCTTATAGCTACTTCTTCCTAACTGGAATTCTTGGTTATTATTCAGGGGGCGGCCCCCTTCTCAATAACTACGCCTTGACGTTGCTAGTGATCTACTTCCTTCAGACCAGAGACCCTCCAGTGCTTCCTCCTGTGGCCGAGCTCACCCAGAGATCAGGTACTGCTACTTCAGCCTCTTCTCAGCTGTCACCCCATTTTCTACCAGTTCTTCCCCAATTTTCCTACTTCCAGCCTGACCCTCTCTTCTTACTGTCACAGGTGAAGGGGAGCAGGTAGAAGTTGATGGCTGGGACTGTAGTTTCCCCAAGGATGCCTCCCGACTGGAGCCCAGCACCAACGTAGAGCCTCTCAGTGAGTCTGGGGAACCTAGGAGAGAACCGATAGTAATATTAAGTTCTTTCTTATGCAAGGCACAGTCTTCACAGTAGTTCCATTGTTGTTGGTTGGTTTGTTTTGTTTTTTTGGCTTTATTATTCTGCCTCTATGTATCCCTGCACGCCAGAAGAGGGCACCAGATCTCATTACAGATGTTTGTGAGCCACCATGTGGTTGCCGGGAATTGAACTCATGACCTCTGGAAGTGCAGGCAGTGCTCTTAACCTCTGAGCCATCTCTCCAGCCCTCATGGCTGCTGTTTTAAGGGTGACAAAATCATATCTTGGGCAGCTAAGTAAGAGGTGTATTCCCCAGTTACACTGCTCTCTAGGACAAGCAGCGGCCTCTGGGTGGGATGTGGCTGAGGAGCTGGATTTCTTAGGACACTTTTGAAGCCCTAAGAAGGGAAGAAAGTCCTACTGAAGTAGCTGCAGGGATGTCCCAGTTATGGCTTCTTAGTGACCCCCTTTTCCTAATCTGCCTCTTCCAGGTTCTCTGCTGGCTCAGTTCTTCTCCTGTGTTTCCTGCTGGGATCTTTCGGGCTCCCTGCTGTCCCTGAGGGAAGGTCGGGCATTGCTGGTGGCAGGGGGCCTGCCTTCTGATCTTTGGGAGGGGCTGCGCCTTGGCCCTATGAATCTCCAGGATCCCTTTGACCTGAGTCACAATGTTGCAGCTAATGTAACCAGTCGGGTGGCTAGACGTCTGCAGAACTGTTGTGGTGCAGCAGCTAGTTACTGCCGCAGCCTCCAGTACCAGCAACGCTCCTCCCGGGGCCGGGACTGGGGATTACTCCCACTTCTGCAGCCCAGCTCCCCTAGCTCCCTGCTGTCTGCCAAGCTCATCCCCTTACCGCCTGCCCCCCTTCCTCAGATCATTATGGCTCTGGTGCGTATATTAAAGGAAGCGCTTGGATGCCATATAGAACAGGGAACCAAGAGACCACGGTCAGAAGGTCCCAGAACCAAAGCCTCTTCCCTGGGAGGGACAAACAAAAGGCAGAGACTAGATGGGCAAGAACAGAGCTGTGAGGAGGGTAATGAGGAGTCAGGGGGATGTGCCGGGGACCACAGTGAAAACGGAGTAGAAGAAATGGTAATGGAGTTGCAAGAGACACCTCAGGACAGGGCGTCGTTGAGCTCTGGACCATCAGGTGAGTTGCCCCTGATGACTTCGAAGTGTCTAGACAAGCTGGCTGAGCAGAAGCCCGTGGAACCTGAAGTAGCTGGAGAAGAGTCTGCGGGTGAGACAGGGAAGGAAGCCTCACACCTGTCACCAGTGAGCTGGCGCTGCGCTTTGTGGCACCAAGTGTGGCAGGGGAGGCGGCGTGCCCGGAGACGGCTACAGCAGCAAACCAAAGAAGGCGGAGGAGGCGCCAGCACTGGCACAGAGTGGCTGGCAACGGAGGCTCGTGTGACCCAGGAACTGCTGAAAGGACGGGACAGTGAACCGCAGAGGCCGCAGGGGGAGCCTCTCCTCACCTTTGTGGCATCTGTCTCCCAAGCTGACCAGGCACTCACTGTGGTACCAGTCCAAGATGCCCAAGGCCTGTTCCCCGGACTTCATCATTTCCTACAGGTTTTTCTCCCTCAAGCACTTAGAAATCTCCTTAAGTGAGGAGCCAGACCTCAAAGACAAATAAAGCTGCTAGTTTATTTAATACAGACAATGGACAACTGTGATTCTACCTGGTGACACCTTTCTCTCTGCCCAGCTTGGCCTGACTATCCTAAAACAGTCATTATGTCCACTTCGGAGATCTCCTTCCCTCCTCATACCGCATTCATAGGGAGGTCTCCTTCCCTCCTCATACCGCATTCATAGGGAGGTCTCCTTCCCACCTCATACCGCATTCATAGGGATGCCACACCACGAGGCAAAGCACGGATTGCTGCTGCCCAGTTCATGGGAACCACCACAAATTGGGGTTTATTTAGGGTTTGTCTTTTCTATCCTTTAACACTAGAGTGAGTTCGAATTTACCTTAGGTCGGATACGAGATTTTGAAATTTGGGTATGTGTAAATTATTGTATCAGAACTGGTCTACCTTACCTGACCCTCTGAAGCACAGCCCAGCTTGAGAGGTGCAGGTGGCGTGCAAGTTGGTCTGGTCCCCTTTGTTGTAGAAGTTAACATGAAGGTGGTTTAATCTTTGCAGTCCTAATTTCAGATGTGTTCGGCCATCCTTTAATAGGAAACTCCGAGCAGGAACAAAAGGAATTTAGTAAGTTGTCACTCCTAGCTTGTAGCCCACGTACTTCCTAGTAGGCAAGAGCTACCAGCGGTTGAGGGGCGGTGCATCCGCCGGGTTCTCACACTCTCCCCGCCCGCGGTGAGCTCCGGCTCCTATCAGGCTTCCGATTGGTCGGCCATGCGGGCGGGGCAGGCTGCCCAGAGCCATACTACGCAGGCGCCAGCTCTTTGCGCTTCAAGCTGTGGGCCCCACCCCTTGCTTTTTCCAACTCAGCGCGGCTGGGGACGGAACTGTCGTGCGTATGCCTTTTGTGCCGTCCTCGCTTTCCGGCCGCTGTTTCCGCACGGCTGTCCCCTTACCCCCTCCCTTGTCTCCCTGGCGGCTTACTTTGCGGCAGCACCGACAGCCCCACCCCCTTTCTCTGCGGAATCACCATGGCGGCTGGGGTAAGTTTGCCGGCTCTGGTGATCTAGGTCACCCCATCCACCGCCATCCTTTGACTGAGTCGGGTCAGTCGGCGCCAGGAGAGTTCCAGACCCAAACGGAGAGCCGATCTGGGGTTCACAGGCCGTACCGCCGGAGAGCAGGGTTCCTAGGGCCTGGAGGGGAACTGAGGCTGGGGCTGGGAGGCCAGAGGTGGAATGTTCTGGGCTTGAGGACAGAAGAGATGCTAGGTCTTCACTCTCTGGGTGTTTAAGAAGTGTCTCAGCTGCACTGCCATTTTGGGATGAGGCGTCTGGGTAGGTTGGGGGAACTTTTGCGACCGTTTTGTGGGTCACCGACGGGGACAGTGAAAAAGGAGAGGGTCTCTGGGCATAAGCGACTGGCACAGTCAAGAGTTGTCTCCTGGGGAGGTTTGGGAGCCAGGGGAATCAAGGGACAGTGAAGGCAAACCATTTGTACCCCACTAGTCAGGTTTTGATAGGAAGACAATTGGAACACACCGAAGGCCAGGACCAGAGGGATGTTAGTGCTCGACGAGGCTTTTTAGGAAGAGAAGTTGATGAGCAGAGCGTGCCATTAGACGTCAACGTGGCTATTCTGAGGGGAACTTTGAAATCTGTTGGTCGGTGTGTGTGCTTTTGAAGAGCTACCAGCTTGGCTGTAGTCATACGCTGGGCCACCACGAATGAATGAAGCAAGGCCTCTGGGAGGCGTGAGTGTGTGTGTGTGTGTTTGGGCAGTTGGAAGGCCGGTGGGACCACGAAGTTTTGAAGGGAAGAATGCTGCTGGAGATGTCCTTACGGGAGGTCACGTCTGCCGGCGAGCTTTATTTAGCAGCTGGTGCACAGTTCTGTTCTCGGTGTTTGAGAGGGCTCTGATTACATAGCGTATACTCAGTTAATTTGGTTTACCGGGAGTGGAAGTGAATGAACACTTTGGAAGTGTGGGGAGTCGCTCTCAGGATTCTTTTCCATTCCGCTCTCCGTCTTTGCTCTCACAGACCCTGTACACATACCCTGAAAACTGGAGAGCCTTCAAGGCCCTCATCGCTGCTCAGTACAGTGGGGCTCAGGTCCGCGTACTCTCCGCGCCACCCCACTTCCACTTCGGCCAAACCAACCGCACCCCTGAGTTTCTCAGAAAATTTCCTGCTGGCAAGGTGAGTAGGGAAGCAGGGACCCCCAAAGAGCCCTAAAATTCTGTTATTCTGGACATGGCCTTCACTGAAGCTAACTTTTTTAAAGATTTCATGGGGCTGGGTGTGAAAGGCCCTGAGTTTGACTGGCCAAGCACCTAGAAGGAAAAATCATTTCAAAGCCTTCTGGAGACTGAGGCAGGAGGATTGTGTGAGGTCAGCTTATATAATCTAATAAGAGGCTGTCTAAAGGGAAATTCAGAGATGTTCGGTGGTTCTCAGAGCTACAGATCTGCTTCATGTTTGTGGGATGAAATGTATTTGGGCCAATACATACGTGCTAGGTCTTGCAAGTGATTCTTATCCCAAAGGGCTTGAGCAGAGTGAAATATCCAATGCTGGGTATTGAGGAGGGCAAATGCTGCCTGTGGGTTGCACCTAATGCCTTGGGTAGTGGGTTGCAGGTGGAGGACATAGCAAGGGTCGTCTCTTAACATTCTTACTCAAAACAGTTCAACCCCAAGAATTGTATCTTACTTTTGTCTCTTCACTCCTTCGTCCCCAGGTTCCAGCATTTGAGGGTGATGACGGATTCTGTGTGTTTGAGAGCAATGCCATCGCCTATTACGGTACTTGTGGGGACACAGGATTGAGAGGTTCTGGGGATAAGTCTGTAAAATGGCTGAGAGTGACTGCCCTCGGCAGAGTGGAATCACAGAGACCTGGGTTGGTTTGGACATGACCTTCAGGTTCTAAGCTTTCTGTTCTGCCTTTGCAGTAAGCAATGAGGACCTGCGGGGAAGTACTCCAGAGGCGGCAGCTCAGGTGGTGCAGTGGGTGAGCTTTGCCGACAGTGACATCGTCCCCCCAGCCAGCACCTGGGTGTTCCCCACCCTGGGCATCATGCACCACAACAAACAGGTGTGCTTTGGAACTTGAGCAGAGATGGGGTCAGCTCCTGTGTTTTGGAATAGGAAATAGATGAAGGAAAAGATGCCTGGATGTATGGCAGTGCAAAGAAAGTAGTGAATGATTACCATCAGTGTAGAGGGAAATGAAGTCATGTTGACCATGAAGAAATTTAATGTGAACGTTTTAGTCCTGATACATTTTCAAGTGAGCCCAGATTCTAGTGTTAGAGGCTAGGGTTGAGACAATGCTGATTAAGTGGTTCTTTAGTTCTGTTAGTGGGTAGGGACACAAGGAAAAGGACTTGGTTCCCACTAAAATGGAGTATTCAAAACTACAGGCCACTGAAAATGCAAAAGAGGAGGTGAGGCGAATCCTGGGGCTGCTGGACACTCACTTGAAGACAAGGACTTTTTTGGTGGGTGAGCGAGTGACGCTGGCTGACATCACAGTTGTCTGCACCCTTCTGTGGCTCTACAAACAGGTGAGGTTTGTAAAGAGCCCATTAGACAGGCTGACTGGTACCGGGTTACCCTGGGTTCTGCTTAGGACTCTTCAGTTAATGACTGTAGGAATCCCAGGATTGAGTACTGTGGCTATTTTCTTTCTTTTTTGGTTTTTCGAGACAGGGTTTCTCTGTATTGTCTTGGAGCCTTTCCTGGAACTCCCTTAGTAGACCAGGCTGGCCTTGAACTCGAGATCCGCCTGCCTCTGCCTCCCAAGTGCTGGGATTAAAGGCGTGTGCCCTAGTGCTGGGATTAAAGGCGTGTGCCCTAGTGCTGGGATTAAAGGCGTGCGCCACCAACGCTCGGCTTGGCTATTTTCATTTTAGGTGATGTTGCTTAGTTTCTTGAAAATAGGGGTTTAATTAAAGATGGGTAATGCTGGGTGTGGTGGCTTACACTTGTAATCTCACCACTTAAGGTACTGAGGTAGGAGGATCACTCTGGTATGAGGCTAAACTGGGCTATATAGTGAGATCAAAAATTTAAAAAAAGTTAAAGACAGATAAGGCAAGGATGGTCACTGTAGCATCAAGGGCTTTTGGAGGCAGATTCAAGTCCCCATCCTGACTTCATTATTTATTGGTGCAGATAGAGGGCTCTCAGAATTCTCGAAATTCTTTTCTTTTGGGCGGAGGTTGGTTTTCCGAGACAGGGTTTCTCTGTGGCTTTGGAGACTGTCCTGGAACTAGCTCTTGTAGACCAGGCTGGTCTTGAACTCACAGAGATCTGCCTGACTCTGCCTCCCGAGTGCTGGGATTAAAGGTGTGCACCACCAAGGCCCTGCTGAATTCTCACAATTCTTTGTGTTATTTTACTTTATCTGTGGTAAATTCAAGGTGGTAGTAATCACCATGTAGTTACTATGTTTTTTTTAAAACATTTAAATTTTGGCCGGGCGTTGGTGGCACACGCCTTTAATTCCAGCGCTCGCGAGGCAGAGGCAGGCAGATCTCTGTGAGTTGGAGGCCAGCCTGATCTACAAAGTGAGTTCCAGGACAGCCTCCAAAGCCACAGAGAAACCCTGTCTCGAAAAACCAAAAAAAATTTTTTTTAAATTTTTTCACCGGGCGGTGGTGGTGCAAGCCTTTAATCCCAGCACTCAGGAGGCAGAGGCAGGCGGATCTCCGTGAGTTCGAGACCAGGCTGGACCGGCAGCCTCCAAAACAGTACAGAGAAAGCCTGTCTCGTAAAAACCAAAAAAAAAAAATAAAATTTTTTCATTTATGTGTATTAGCATGTATGTACAAATGTGTGCAGATCCTAAGGAGTTTTGAGCTACCAAGTTGAGTGCTGGGAATTGAATCAGGGCCATCTGTGTGTATATGCATTGGTGTTTTGCCTGCATGTGTGTCTGTGTGAGGGTGTCAGATCCCCTGGAACTGGAGTTACAGACAGTTGTGAGCTACCATGAACCTGGGACCTCAGGAAGAACAGAGCCATCTCTCCAGTCCCTCAGGATACTGGTTTTGCTTGTTTTTAAAGAATGTTGTATTGATTTCCAAGCAACAGCTCTTGACCCATTCTGGTCCAGAATTATATATAGTACAGTAGGAACAAAGAAAAAAAAAACTTCTGTGTGCCGGACAGTATACCTCATTGTAATGCTTCTATGCCCATAGCATACAGGAAGTTGGGAACTTCAAGTTCTACTGTGATCTGTTTCCGTGATATGGTTTAGCTCTCACCCCTCCTATTCTGGCAAACTTGGAAATGACAGGGGCACTTGCAGAGGACTCCCAGCACTCCTGTGGTGCCATTACAACTGCATCTCCCTTTCTAGGAGATGTGATGCCCTATTCTGGCTTCTGTGAGCACCAGAATGATTGTAATGCACAGTTATGTGTGCAGGCAAAGCACCATATACATGAAAATGAAAGGTAAATTAAGAATTTCTTAAGGTAGTGTGTGACTGAAGAGATGGCTCAGCACTTAAGAGCACTTTTTGCAAAGGATTCAGGTTCGATTCTCAGTACACACATGTAGTTTGTAACTGTCTTAACTCCAGCTCAAGGGAAATCCAATACCTTCTGGTCTCAGTGGGCACTAGGCACGCAACGGTGCACAAATATACATGGAAACAAAACACTCATGCCAAAAATGAAATAAATGTTACACATTTTTTAAAGAGGTTAATGCGATTTTCTGTGAAGGAGTTAGAAGAACTGTTTTGATCATGCTGGGTTTATGCTGTGCTGCTGAGCGACATTC